GGGGTGTCCTTAGCGGCGGGCTGGGCCGGCCCCACCACAATCCACAGAATGGAGAACGAGTAGCAAACCAGAATCTATCTCCCTTCCTCCGTAGAGTTTCTCCCTGCAGCTTGGGGGTGACCCTGCAGCTTGGGGGTGACCCTGCAGCTTGGGGGTGACCCTGCAGCTTGGGGGTGACCCTGCAGCTTGGGGGTGACCCTGCAGCTTGGGGGTGACCCTGCAGCCAGGCAGCCCCAGATGCTCTGCAGTGACCTGGCAAGCGGAGACAGCCTGGCTGCAGCAACAGGCAGCAGGAGGAACTGCAAAACCGAGCTCCTTCCTCTGCCTCTAATCTCCTTGCCTGGTCTGTGCTGCGGCTTCTCCCACAGATGTTAAAGCTGCCTCTCAGCTCTCCAGAAAAGCCATCCCTGTTTTTCCTGGCAAGCCAGAAAGAAAGGATCCCTCGCCTACACCGCGAACAACCAGCCAAGGTAACGGGCAGGAACTGTTTCTCACTGGTGTGCCAACCAGGCTGCGGTCCCCAGGTTGAGGCGTCTCAAGGATCAAGCCCAGAGCGGGCTGAGAACGAGCTGCCTTGAAGCGGAGGAAGGGGCAGACATTTGTGCAAGGGACCCTTTTCCCGGGATGTAAAAAGATGCGGCCTGGGGGGAGAAGGGGGCAATGCAAGGGCTCCTCCTAGGTGCAACCCTCCCTCCTCTGCTGTGCAGAGGCAAGAAATTACGGAGCCCACCTCTGGTTGAGACTCTTCCATGGAGATGGTGGTGTGGCAGCGCAGATAAAGCCAGGGCTGTGCTGAAGGACAGGAGATGGGGTTGGCTGCTCAGGAAGCCACAGCTCCCTTCCCAAAGCTGTGTGTGCTGATAAGAGGGCCCGGGCAGCCCCACCGCTGGCACTGCTGCCAGAGCAGCGCCTGGTCCTCGGGCAGGAGGGAGGCAACGTGGCAGGAGAGCAAACGCTGGAGGGTCCACGGGTGAGTCCCAGGGAAGCGGTGTCCATCAGGGGCCGGGCACTTGGGGGAGCCACGTCTGCGCATGGGAAGCTCTTCTCCCATGATTCCTGCCCCTGCCTTGTGAACCCAAATCAAGCAGAGGGCTCTGCTGGCATTGGGTAAGAGCGTATGCTCAGGAGCCTCTGCCAGCACACGGCTTTGCTGGGCTGGGCTGGGCTGGGTGTGCAGGGACGTGAACACTGCAGAGCCACGGCTTTTGCAGCGGTGAGGGCAGCCATGCCACCCCGGCGGAGCCGGCACCGCCGTGAGGAGGCACGTGAGCCAGGGTCTCCCTCCCACGGAGGAGGATGAGGTGAGCAAAGGGCAGAGGTGGTGACGCCGTGCTGAGCCTGCTGCCCTCCAGGGATGAGATGACGGGGTGGGCGCTGGCAATAGGTGTGGGACTCATCTCTCCCTTTCACCCTTCAAGGGAGGAGCTGCGGGGCTCGGAGGGCTCCCAGAGGGTCTGGTGGGAGATGCCAGGTCTGCTGCGAACGGTGCTTGCGCGGGAAGAAAGGCGACGTGTAGGTGCATGCCTGCCTGTGCCCACACCTCCCGGCTCTCCCCTCCAGGCCATGCGGGTCCTTGCCCTGCTCCCACTCATCCTCCCGGCCCTGCTGCCCGCAGCCGGCACTACCGACCCAGGCCAGCCCTGCCCAACGGAGATGAACAAGGTCAAGGACCTCCTGGCGGTGAACTGCACGGGGCAGGCCCTCAGCGCGGTGCCCCAGGACCTGCCCGTGGACACGGGCATCCTGCTGCTCAATGACAACCAACTGGCGTCCCTCTCCATGGACGCCTTCCTGAACCTCACCCAGCTGCAGGACCTTGACCTGGCCGACAATGGGCTGGTGGCTCTGCACACCGGGACCTCGCTGCCGACCCTGAAGGAGCTGGTCCTCTCCCGCAACGGGCTGGGGGCCCTGCCCGACCTGCAGGGCTTCCCCGCGCTGACCCTCCTGGCCGTGGCCCACAACAGCCTGGTGACGCTGGCCCCGGGGGCTTTCCTCGCTGTGCCACAGCTGCAGGACCTGGACCTGCGAGGGAACCAGCTGCAGACGCTGCCCCAGGACGCCTTCAAGGGGCTGAAGGCACTCAAGGACTTGGACATCTCAGACAACCTCCTGGAGGAGCTCCCCAAGGAGCTGCTGCAGGATCTGAAAGCGTTGGAAACCCTCTGGCTCTCAGGGAACCACCTGCGGACCCTGCCCACCAACTTCTTCCCCCAGGACCACCTCTTCGCATACATCTTCCTCACTGAGAACCGCTGGCATTGTGACTGCGACCTGCGCTACCTGCGGAACTGGATCAGGCAGAATGAAGGAAGTGTCTACCAGCCAGAACGGGGCCTGGAGAAGACAAAGGTGGAGGTTGCCCCTGAGAAGGTGCTGTGCAGCAGCCCCCCTGAGCATTTGCGGAAGCCTATCATCCACTTCAAGCCCAACAACTGCGGCAATGTGGGAGATGCAGATGAGGAAGAGGATGAAAACTATGATGAGGAAGAAACGATGGAGAAAGCTACCACGATCACCATCACACCTGCACAGACCCCCAGCCCTGCTGCCATCCTCACTGCTGCTCCCACCAGCACTGCCCTCATCTCCACCACCTCACTGCCAACCACTATGAGCACCAGCCATCCTCAAACCACCTTTTCCGCCAACACTACCAACACCTATGCCATTCCCATGGTGGCTACTGGCACGTTTTCCACTACCTCTGTGGCATTGGCTTCTACTGCCATGCTAGAGGCCTCTTCCATGATTGGATCTTCATCTCCTCCTCTGACATCAACGACATCGGTGGTCTCCACCACCATGCTTTCCACTCATGCCCCAACACCACTAGCTCCCCTGGACACCACACACTTCACCCATCCTGCACCTTCTCCTCCACCTCCACCTCTCCCCCTCTGCCCATGCTCCACTCCAGTACTGGCCTCGCGGGCAGGTGGGGAGGGTCCGCAGGGGGGACAGTGGGTGCTGAGGCATTGCTGCCTATTGCACTGGGTGCTCTACCTGGCCTCCTTGGTTCTGCTGGTCCTGACCATGCTGGCTCTAGCAGGCTGGCTGGCGTGGATGTTTCTGGTGGGACGGCACAAGTCCCGGCAGACCCAAGAGGTGCAGGGTCTGCTGCCGAGGTGGGGGGAGTCGACAGGAAGCCCTGTGATGGATCTCAGCAGCTTCAAAAGCCCCCACCAGAGCCCCACATTCTGTACCATCAAGGAAGTAGAGTTGTGCCCTGAGGTCACTTACTGCACGATTAAAGACCTAGGGATACAGCATAGTTCTCCTGCATGTTCCTCCTTCCGCACCACGAAGGAGTTGTGGGTCCACCACAGGCCTCTGAATGAGTAGTTCAGGTCTTTCTCCAGGAAGCTGATGGTCACAAACCTCAGCTCCCTGAGGACGCCTTCTGCTTACCATCTGGACAGGGGTGTCAAGGTGATGTTAGAGTGAAATATGCTGGCAACACCTTCTAAACACTTCTGTATATTCAGAGAAAAAGATGGAGAATTATGGCTTTGCTTCACGTACCCTTGTTTTACACAGGAAGTTCTGCTTGCCCAGGGGGAAGCCATCCAGCTCTTTTCCCTGCTGTTACTCTCAGACATGCTGAGTTTTCTAGATCTGAAATAATTACTTGGGTACGTGACAGGGGAAGAAGATGTCCTGAATGGGTCAGGGATAGTTTGGGGCTGACACTGCCTGCTTTCGGGGTGAGGGTGGGAAAGCAGAGCTTACTCTGTGTCCCAACTGCTTCTGTTTGAATGCTGCACTAACGACACGCTCTGCTTTCAACTCCCTGCCAGGCTGCTAATCACAGAATAAATATTCTCTTTGCCTGAATTTCAAATGGGTGGTAGTTTCATTTCATTGGACTTCCCACAGTCCTGGCAGGGTACAGTGAATGACAAAATTGTCTTCAGTACTTGGAACAGTGAAGATAGAGAGGGAAAGTCCTCTTCTATCCAGCTTCCTGGCTTTTGTTGCAAATGTATGCTCATAGAATCATAAAACCACAGAATCATTGAGGTTGGAAAAGCCCAACCGTTCCCCTACCCCTGCCATCCCACCCCCAAACCCTGGCCCTCAGCACCGCCTCTGCC